CTCATTCCCGATTATTCAAGTTTAACGATATTAGAATTTTATTACTGAGAAGATGATTTATTTATTTTAATCACTCCATCCAAAGGTCACTCACCTTTTGTCGCGAAGATCGGGTCTAGCGGATGTCTTATATTGCATGCAATGTTAACGACACGTATTTTATGGATTCAAAAGAATCCGCTAAACAGCAATCAAGTTGTAAAACGTCGCGTCTTTATTAATAATATTGTAAAAGCATCGGCCGCGTTTATAGCTCGCCGATAATGATGATACAAAATACAACATTTTTTCTCGATGGGCACCCACCTAAATGACAATCAATGTTTACTGCCAACTTCACCTGGTCAAGGTAAAATCATTAATAAGTGCGATAAAACGATAAATTTTGAGGAAGATAACTTAGATGTTACATCCTCTTAGAGGAATTAACTGTAAAAGAGATATTTCTGGAATATTACGTAGGGACCTCAAGAAATGACCTTTGGAAAGCTTTCTTTCGTACCGGTGATAAGTTACTTAACGTTAGATCTTTTGTGACATTCTTACAAAAAATCCGGCTAGATTACTTGATATAAAGAAACCTATCTAAAACGTTGGACACTGCGCATAGTACACTTTATTTTTTATGATTTGACCACCCCTGAGACAAGTCAATTGCGGCACATTATTGAGATAAAAAATAAGATTTTATAACCAAAATTTGTCCACAGTCTCTCTCAATTGTCTGATGATTCACTATAGCACCGAACATGTGACCAATGTCTAGTTAGACAATCCCTTTAGTGATTTTTAAATTAAAATGTTTATTATTGAACAACAACGAATGGGTTACACTTTGATTATTCTAAACTATAACCAAAGATTTGTATGAATGGAATTAGACCTAGTCTACCTGAGACATTTATTTATAAATGACGACGCGAAAAGACAATATAGTTACCTCATGGTTCTAAAATAAATTAAATGTCAATTATAGTTCATTCGATATTGCGAACTTTGTCCTTAATGTTAACAAAATACAACTCTATCTAATTCATTGGCTCAAGTCACAGGAGAAGCGAGTGTCTTTGAAACATTCTTTATCATTAAGAATACGTAAGTTATAAACGCATGTGTCATATTAACTCTTACTTGGTTAATAATAAATTCAAAAAAAAGGTACGGTATGTCCACGCAGCAGCTTCCGCTGTCGCATGAATGGGCAGGTCTGTCCGGGTAAGCACCACGACCTCACAGAAGTTTCGTGTGGTGAGTGAGATCGCCGGGACCCGCTTTATTAAAAGGTGACAACGCATCTGCAACCCTACGGGTGTTGCAACTGTCCGCGGGCGGCGGTTATCACTTAACATCAGGTGAACCGCCAGCTCGCTTGCATTGCCCTTCTCACATAAATAATGCATATAACATGTTAGATACCGAACTAACACACAAAAATGCGTGTATCATTCCGAGGTGCAAACGTACCCGCTCCGCTTATGAACTCGAGGCGGTCTCGGGAAAGAGCGAGCCCTGTGATCGCTCACGCGTGTGATCCGCTCAACTAATATTATTCAGATCGGGGCGCACCATTGTTCCCGTGCGGTGGCTCGGGGCACGACAGCTTTGACTTTTAATCAGTTAGCAAATATTTGGAGCGGCCGCTGCATATTGAGGAGGCTTGTGCAATTGTATTAGGGGTCCCTGAGCGCTCCGCCGCTTTGCCGATTGCCCACGGTCGGGTGGCCACGGCATGTCGCATACCGGGATGCGTAATGAAACGCTAACTACCCCGCACGGTACACAGATACATTGTTCTTTCACTGCCAAAATGCAATGGAACGGACGTAGATACATGTCGAGATTTTCGCGCAGTGAGGTCATCGGCCGCTTAGAATAGTTGTTCGGTCTGGGCGCGAAACCAGAAGATGCAAGTTCGAATCCAGAAGCGCCGAAAGTTTTCGTTCATTTATCTACAAAAAATTTACAATTTAATGTTATAGCCAATATAAAAGTGTCTCTACTTGTGATAGTACATTCGACATTTTTAATAGAATTTCATCATGGGGGAGGGTTGTCATAATTGCTTTTTCCAGGCCTCTAAACCTTAATGATTTCGTGGCGAAGTTGCCAAGGTATTGGCATCGGTGCCGGGGTCGTGGGGTTCGATTCCCACACAGGACAACTATTTGTTTTGGATCTGGGTGTTCATCCGCGTGAAATTTATATTTGTACAACGTCAGAAAACACTGCTGCCCGTACTGACCTCAGTTTTTAGGGTCTGGAAAATCGAACTGGCATTGTGCTTTGTGGCAGTTTGTTGGGGCTTATGTCCAGCAATGGACTGGACCAAGCCAGAAGGATGTTGATGATGAATCAGGCTTTCGAAATCTATTCGTTTTTAAACGATGAATTATAAATTAAGAGAAAAGGGGGAATGATAATTTATGCATGCTTGTATCCCGAGTAAGGTGATTCAGGTGTAGGCCATCTAAATTAATACCTTATTAATTGTTTAGACTTTAATAACATTTTTTATTAACAACTAGCTGATATCTGCGGCTTCGTCTACATTTCTTATTATGTTAACATTTAGTAAAATAATAGCCCATACACATCCCACTGCTGGGCGAAGGCTCCCTATTTTACAGAGGGTATCAGGACATAATCCACCACGCGGCCCCACTGTGGACTGGTGAACTTCATATAACTTCGAAATATTTTTTTTGTTATTATTTCGAAAATATGCAGGAGACCTCACGATGTTTTCCTTCACCGTTGACCACATGATAGAGATAACATTCTGAAAATTGATTGAGATTTTGAGGAGTTTCTAAATATATCTTTGGAACCCAAGATCTAATACGAATATGGGAGCACTTGAGATCTAAACCAAAGTCAATGCAATTTTTTTTAAATCGGTTCATCATTGACGGAGTCTGAGACAACGAACATAAAAAAATACAATCGAATTGAGAACCTCTTTTTAAATCCAGTTGGAAAAAACACGAATCTTTATGTATGATGCAGATGATCTGTATGATGCAGTTGTCTTCAATATTTATTTAACATTGTCTCTTTGGATGGACTTTTTAAAGCCAAATTGGAACGTTCTAGAACAATTATTCGAGACAGTATTAATTACGTATTTACGTCCAGTTTCTGTATGATGCAGTTGTCTTCAATATTTATTTAATATTGTCTCTTTTGATGGACTTTTGAAAGCCAAAATGGAACGTTCTAGAACAATTATTCGAGACAGTATTAATAAATTGACGTCGAGCGATGCGGAGCTGTGTCGTATTTATCCATGTCGCGGCAGATTGACGCACGTACGGGTGCAATTTGTCATTGCATTGCGAATGGAACATACAGATGGGCAGTCTAAGACTTGCAACAGATTCATGAGTTGGTTTACGGTAATGGTGAATAGATCGATCTGAATAGACCTTGGAAAGCTTTAGAGCTTAAAAATTGGCGTGATATTTGTAGAATGAGGTCATAGTATTCAACAAAGTATTTAGTTATTTTCTCTTGTAACCACCCGTGTTGGTAATTTTACGGTGGTAGGTTCTAGCAGGAACTTGTCTCAAACTGACATAAGCCTAACATAGAAAAATAGAACATTTTTGTATGTTAAGCTTTTTTATTTATTTGTATACATTGTATTTCGTGTGGTGAAAGTAAGCCCAAAGGTTTTTCAGTCCTTAGACTATATAAAGCTTCACCGGGAACTACTTTTCGCCACAAAGAAAATGTAGATATCACTTGTTAAATAAAATTATTTGATGTAATTTGTTTTTATTCCAAAATCCCAGCGTTACGAAAATTGCAGCGTTCATGGTCACGGGTCAGAGCTGTTTTACGCTCTGTAATAGAGTTAGCTGGGGCTACCGTCAATTGTTGTGTTATTTATTTTATTCCGATCTACGCAAAAGGAGCCCATGGTGTCTTGAGATCTAGTTGCAGTATTGGTGTGCTTGGATTTAATTTAATAACATATAGGTTCATTATATATATATCGTGTTTATATTTGGAAATGTGCGCGAATTGCGTTGATGGAACATCTTAAGGAATCCAAACCGTAATACTGCACGAAGATAGAACACGAGAAGATTACCGCTCATAAAACGCGGTACAGTCGCGCACGGCCCGCGGTGGCGCCGTGCTCTCGTGTTTGTGCACGTCCCCGTGCGTTACGTCTCCCGATGATTGGAGCACGTACTATGTCATTACCGTGGACGCATTCGCTTGCGGAAAGTACCGTCGCGTCCAGTCGTGGAAACATGTGATATTGGGTTTTCAATAGGAGTTTGCATTGTACAGTGCACACCATTTTCGGGGGGAATGCTTGGGGAAATAAAAAAAAATATTTATGATTTGAACAGGGTTCCATTTTTATATTTAAAAATAATAACCTAACGGCAAATCTGTACTGTCATTAGGTGGGTCCATCTTGCGTGGGTAAACGGGCAGGTAATTCCAGATATAACAAGGGAATATAATTCACTGATATCTATTTACTATTCCAGAATCAATTAATGTTAATAACACTTTATCTAGGCTAAGATCTAAATGGATTTAACTAAGACGTCGGCGATCCGTCGATGACGTGCGGCCTCAGTCACGCTCGATTCAAAAAGTGCGTAACAAGATGGCTGCCCGTTTGACGTTCCGCCAGAGTGACGGCTGTCACTCTCGTCCAGAAATCGACAGTTCAGTCTCGAATAATGTTGGCGCCACCGTCGCGCCGTCACGGCCATTCTGACAATCGCCCGTCCTCGGGCGCATAAGAGCTTCTGCAACAGAAAACCACTTTAACTCATCAACACCGCTCGCCCAACCTGACCTCAATTCCTCATAACTACCGAAAATCTGGATGATCTCTGACTTCCTTATCAAGCTCTAATCAAGAACCTGTCCTAGACTCATACAAAACACAGCTAGTTTTCTCTGTGAATTCAAACTTCGAGTTATATTCTGGACATATAATGTACGCACAATTTCACTTCTAGACAGGACAAATGCGTCCCTTCGACCAGCATCAATGGCATGGACCGGACAACACCGTCCTTGCGACCAGGCTCACGACTTCCAGTTCCGGACCGGACAAATGCGTCCCTTCGACCAGCGTCAATGGCATGGACCGGACAACACCGTCCTTACGACCAGGCTCACAACTTCCAGTTCCGGACCGGACAAATGCGTCCCTACGAACAGCCCGCGAGGGCATGAACCGGACAACACCGTCCCTTCGACCGATCTCACCACTTAGAAGTAAAGAATTAGAATTCTGGACCGGACAAATGCGTCCCTTCGACCACCCTGCAAGGGCATGGACCGGACAACATCGTCCCTTCGACCAGGCTCAACACTTCTAATTCTGATCCAAACGTCACCTATCACCATCCTTACATCAAATACAAGCACAACTTTAACTAACCTTGTTTTATTCTCTATGAACTTCGACCTCAACATCAAATCTCAAGCTATTATTAAAATCTTCGGAGTCAGCAGTTAGAGTTTCAGATCCCATGGATACTGTGTCGGAGCCGTGAATGGATAATGTATCTGAGTCATGAGCAACTGCATCAGTGGCATGAATGGGTGACTCATCGGTATCATTACGATTTTCCATTTCTTGGTTTTGCGCCGTCACGGCTTCATCCTCTGCCAAAATGCTCGTTGAAATTTCAATTAAGCCTTCACAACCCCCGGGCACCAAACGCAAGTTCTCGTGAGCATATTTGAAAACACGGTTTGTCCCATCAAGGCTTTTTAACTCGTAACGATCATTGTCAAGAACATTGGTGATTACGTAGGGCCCCTTAAATTTCCTACTTAATTTGGTTTGGTTTCGCTCAGAACTCTTAATGAACACAAAATCACCGTTTGCAAAACTTTTAACTGTGGCCCTGCCTCGGTTAAAACGTATTGCTTCAGAACTTGCAGCCTTTTCTATATTTTTGGAAGCCTCATTCCGAATAGTTTCAAGGTCTAAGCGATCTTTATTGTGGGAGTCTGAAGATATTTTGGCCAACCCTAAAGACAATGATCTTGTTCCGAACATAAGTTCGGTTGGAGTATATTTTGTCACAGGGGATTTCGTGCTGTTTAGTGCCAGTTGAATATTGCCCAATTCATCGCGCCATGTTTTATTTGGGTCGTTTTCGACAATGGTCAGTAGAGCTTTGAGGGTTTTCATGACGCGCTCAACTTGGCCATTGGCCCTGCTTGAGCTGGTCGCGATGAAGTGAAGGTCGATATTATGATCCTTACAAAAACTTTTAAATTCAGAGCTTGCTCTAATAGAACATATTTTGTGAATCCGTCAATGATCACGGAGCAATATTCTTTTTGGTCACTCTTTCCACTTAATTTTCCCGTGAAATCGATGTGGATAGTATGCCACGGCACAGATACTTTGGGTATAGAGTGAAGGCGAATAGGCTGGGCGCCAGAGGGCCCTTTTGACGCTTTACAAACAATACAAGAATCTACAAATCGTCTAACATGCTTAGCCATATCTGGGAACCAGTACTGTTTATAGATCTTATCAAGCGTTTTATCACTCCCCAGGTGCTGAATTTCGGAGTGAACGTGATTGATAAGTGTCCATATTAAGGAGCGAGGCACAATGGGGAGCCAGGATGTCACTTTATTTCTGCTAATTTTCCTATAGAGGATCCCATCTCGCACGTCGTATGTCCCCGCAACAGCTTCCGGAAGTTCAGAGTTTAGACATTTCGCTACAAGATCTTTAATTTCGCTGTCTCGTTTTTGCTCCACTGAAAGCCAACCTTCGTGAAGCTCTACGAAATGAACGGATTTGTAGGCGTTTATGTTTAATTTTGGGGGATTCGACTCCTGAGATGGAGGATTTCGCGATAGGTAATCAGCGTGCTCCATTACCCGACCTTCACGGTAAACAATGTCAAAATCATACGCTTGTAATATAGCCCACCAACGGTGGACTCGGGGGGTTAGGTCAGATTTCGACTTTGACGCCTTAAGGGAATTGCAGTCTGTGAAGACAATGAATTTCCGTCCATACAGGTAATGGCGAAAGTGCTCCACCGCGCGAACCACAGCTAACGTTTCGAGCTCATACGAATGATATCTAGACTCGATCTCAGTCGTACGACGGCTAAAGTAAGCTACGACGTGCGGCATAGAATTATTTCTTTGGATCAGAATCGCTCCATATCCTTCGGAGCTAGCATCACAGTGAAGCTCCACCGGTAGTGCAGGATTAAATATTGTCAATACAGGTTCCGATGTAAGGATTCCAATTATGGTTTGACGAATGTTCTCATGCAATGCGGTCCATTGAATACTGCCCTTGAACTTTGTCAGTGGATATAAAGGTCCGACTATCTTCGAGAAGTTTGGTATAAATTTTCGGAAATATGAAGCCAGACCAAGGAACTGTCGCACTTGAGTTGCAGTTTTAGGGGGAAGAGCTGTGGCTAGTGCTTCAATTTTAGTTGAGTTTGGTCTGACTTCACCTGCCTCAATTTCATATCCTAAATAATGCACTTTACGCTTCATGAATTTACATTTTTGTAATTTGAAGGAGAAGCCTGCCTGCGAGAGGGCCTCAAGTACTTCCTCCGATTGCTTCAAACCCTCTTCAATGTCAGACGAGTGGCAAAGGAAATCGTCCATATATACTAGTGGTTTTTGCTTCAGGTCTTTCAGAGCATTATTAATGCATCTTTGGTAGACAGACGGCGCACTGCGCAAGCCGAAGGGCATGGTGAGATACTCATATTGCCCCTCGGGTGTCACAAAGGCCGTCTTCTCAACTGAATCTGGATGGAGTGGGATTTGGTGGAAACAAGCTGCCATATCTAATGACGAGAAGTAATGAGCCCCTGATAACTGATCCACCTGCTCATCGATTAAAGGCAAAGGATAATGTTCAGCGCGGGTATTCGAGTTGAGTTCCCGGTAATCCACACACATACGGTCTGTATTGTCCTTTTTTTTTACCAGTAAGATTGGACTTGCAAATGGTGAGGAACTCTCCCTGATAATACCGGCGCTCAACAACTCCTGGACTTTTTCTCTGACTATCTCCTATTCGGCAGGTGCTAATCTATAAGGTGTTCTTTGTACAAGCTTATGAGGATCTATCAAATTAATGATCATTTGCCCCGTTTTGACTCGTTGTGTAGGGATACCACTAATAAAATTATCTGCATATTTATTAAGGATCCGTAAAAGTGCGAGCCTATGTTCGCCAGTTAAGTCAGTATCAACTGTGATATCATCGCAAAATGAAACCTCCTTTTCACAAAGATCTACCTTCTTAGAATCCGCTATAGTTAAGCCATTATCATCAATCGTTACGCGACCACCGTTTTCTATAATATCTCTCCCTATTAAAAACGGATCGGAAATGCAGTCATCCGGAACAACATGAAACAAGAGCGAAGTCGAATAATCACCTATCCTGACTGTACTATAAATCTGAGATCTGCACTGTACTTCCCCCTTTCCTATACCCTTCAAATACACGAGATCAGAACATTTAGTACACGGAAAGTTTAAAGAAGTACCTAATTTTATTAATGAGCAATTCGACCCACTATGAAAAAGAAATGGAATTCTCTCACCCGATGCTGTTACCAGAGTCCCTCTCGATGTGTCTCGTTCGCATATGTTAACTTCTTTCTTTGATGCGCCTCCAATTTTCTTGTCCGGGCACGTCGTTGCAATATGGCCTGGTTTTCCGCAGACATAACAGTTCACGTTAGACTTCATCTCGGGAGTTCGTACTGATGATCCAACTCTGCCTGCAAAATCCTCACGGCGTCGACGACAGTCTGCTTGTCTGTGTCCAGGTACGCCACAAAAGTGACATTTGCCAGTAAAACGTCCATCTGCTAAGCGAGGTCTCTTGGGTTCGAGGTCATTTGCATCACTATTTTCTGATCGACGCTTTAAAGAAATTCCTCCGAGAGTGCGAAATAGCTGGGTCCTGTTCGTGATTACTTGATAACTTAATTCACGGCGAATCAGTGAATCCTTTTGGCATAATACCGAGATGACGAATCCAGTAACTGCTTCTTCCGACATTTCCACCTTTGGTATTCTTTCAATTAGATCCCATAAACGTATAGCTGACTCGCTGGCCGTTTCCTTAATTCCGATTTGAAATCGCATTATGTCGTCGAAATAATTTTGAATCAGTTTTGGTTTCGCAAACTTGGCTAATAGCGTTTGTTTCACTAGATCCCATGAAAGTTGATCCAATGGCAACTTGGTAAGACAAGCAGCAGCTCTTCCTTTAAGAGAGGTGGTGAGAGCCATCAGCAACGCGACACCTTCCAATTGTTTGCTCTTAATAATCAGTTCAGATACGCGACACCAGCCCTCCACATCGGCATCGGTATCATCAGGATTAAAATGGATTAACTGCACTGCACTTACACTTGTAGAATTCGGTTGCTGAGCTGCCAGTAAGCGGGTCAGTAAAGTTTCCATATTGCTCAAAAGACCACTCGCGTTGTCTTTATCAGGTGGCCTTCTTTCTTCACTCGGCTGCCCTTGCGATCCCACTTCTGATAACGGCAAATCTGTACTGTCATTAAGTGGGTCCATCTTGCGTGGGTAAACGGGCAGGTAATTCCAGAAATAACAAGGGAATATAATTCACTGATAGCTATTTACTATTCCAGAATCAATTAATGTTAATAACACTTTATCTAGGCTAAGATCTAAATGGATTTAACTAAGACGTCGGCGATCCGTCGATGACGTGCGGCCTCAGTCACGCTCGATTCAAAAAGTGCGCAACAAGATGGCTGCCCGTTTGACGTTCCGCCAGAATGACGGCTGTCACTCTCGTCCAGAAATCGACAGTTCAGTCTCGAATAATGTTGGCGCCACCGTCGCGCCGTCAAACCTAATATATGTTATATATTTTAGTGCAGTATACTTTGTTTTTATTTTTATTAAATAGTGATGTGTATGTGTTTTTTAATTTTAATTTAACTTTACGCTCTTTTTAAATTACACATTTGTAGCATGATTCAATACAAACATATTAAGTTGCAATCACGCGTGTAAACAATTTTATTGCTTTTTGACAAGTATGTTTACTGCACTTACCTCAATGCACACGGTTGATATTTTAGTGTAACCGTGACTACGAGTGTTTTATTGAATATTTATTCTTGACAATATTTACCTTATTAGATAAGATACGTATTCAATGCAATATTTTAATGAGAATGTATTATTTATGAAGTAGTAGGAGCCTCATAGTATTATCGATATTAATATTATTTTTAATCGATGTAACCTAAATTTAAAATGAGTATTAGTTGGCATCGAACCCACACCCTCTGGCTCAAGATTGGTTCACTATCCACATCGCCAATCAGGTCAAGCAACAATATTAAACAACGCTACCGACCGGTTCAAATGGAAGTCAATGAGTGAGGCTTTTATTCAGCAGAGGACGTCCTACGGCTGATATGATGATAATGATGAACAATATTAAATAGAACATTAATTTATTTTACATAACATAAATTTTAATTGAAGTTTTGAACGCGACAGTACCCACGTTTTCCATCGAACCTTGAGCAGCCGCCGCATTTCGTACAGGAATGGTGATTTGCGATGATCATTGTTTGTCATACTGCACGCCATGAGTTGACTTCTAGCTAGGAATAACATGCGTGATTACAACCGTAATTGAGAGACTTATTGCCATTTCGGGCTGAACACAGTCTTTTTTTAAATTTAATCGTGTACATACCCGCTACGAGACAATCCTAAGATAATTTATCGATAAAATATTCACATTATACAAAAGCATTTCAATATCTTTCTACAAATTTATGACATTGTCGTATTAATGACTAAACCTTGTACGCTTTAATTTGCAGACTCAGCTAAATCTTCCTCGAGTATGGAGTTGATGTTTATCGAACGGTGTTGTTATATTTAGTGTTAGGGTATATTTAAAAGCCGCCTGTTTTATCTTTCAAGGTAATTCGAGACGACAGCCACGCTGTTATTGAGTGATCGACGCATGTTACGAATTCATGTTACAAAGCAAAAACAGATGTCACCCAACTTATTATTTATCATTTAATTTATTTTTATAATTTTTCTTAGATAAAATTTTAATGTATGTTAAGGAAGTGAAATTAAGTTAAACAGTCGCTTTACATGAAAATATACTTATTCCTTTTAGTATTTATTTCACAGTGTTGTTGTAATTATTTTACTGCATCTGCTAGGTCATTCATGATTCATTTGAAAAAATTACTCATGGCCACGAATTGGAATATCACGTATAAGATAAATGGGACGGATATCAGTACTGTATGCTTTTATCAAAGCGGCTGAATATCCGAAACGTAACCTAACATTATCAATATAGCATAAATAAATTTAAGAAAATAACATTATTATTAAAACATGTAGAAAAAGTACGAAAATATTGTCGCCGCTGTGGGAATCTCTCGTGGCGACATCTCTCGTTCGAATTATCGTTTTAAAACGATATTCGAAATTATTTGTATGCTGGAAAGGATATAACAATAGATGCGCCAAGCATTAAATGCTAAAGAACAATGTAGAAAGAAGGCGTTAAGATTTTCGTCGCTGTGGCTATCAGCGGTTTAGCTCAGTGGCTAGCGCGTCAGGCCGAGAATGCCAAAGACGTGGGTTCGATTCCCTCAGCGGCGACAATCTTTTCGTACTTTTTCTACATGTTTTAATGTTCAATCTTAAGTGCAGAGATTAGCACTATAAAATACATTAATTGGTAAGCAGAAGGATCTCCTAGATCTTATTTCAGACATCTCATCAAGAATCAGGCATGGTGAAACCCGTACGACGGTAAAACAAGAAGTTAAAGTCGAACAGCCAATCATTCAAGAGTAGCGGCACGATGTGAGCACCCTGCGGAATGCTCAGCGACGACCGACCGCTGGCGCAGGCGAAATTGACACACGCACCCTCATTCCCCAGGAGTCACGACCGCGGCGAACATTTGCACACCGACGGCACGATTCAATTCACACGTCTACCGGATCCAACCCGCTCTAGCGGCTGTAGTTAGAAAGGGACAAAGCGATGCGACTTTCGCCGATTACCCGCGCGGCCGCGGATGGAAATCAATTTCTATGTAACGTTAGTGCCTATATGCTACCAATATGAGAGGTGAAAATTGGTGTTCATGTGATTGGACGTCGTGTTCTTAACGAGACGATATACTGATGGAATGTTTGCGAATTGAGTAAGAACGAACATTGATAGGGAATGCAAAGTATGGCCACAGCTTCCAGGCTTGAGATGAGATTGCTAGTCTTGCATGATGTTTTTACAATTTACAATTCATTGAATTGAATTCACAATTAAGTAATTGAAATAAATTCTCATTTGGGGACAATAATTCCTTAACGTTTGATGGACCGTCAATCCCTAACTGTATTCAGTATCCTTATATTGTTAATTGCTATACAATGTTTCTTGATTTGAACCATTGATTTGAAATTGAACGAAAAAATACACTTAAACAGTAAAATCCACAATAAAATGTAAGTGTTTCATAGACCATAAGCAAAATCGTTTGTTTAAAATGAGTAGATCGTTTATTCACTAAAAATATTATAGCATTGTCAATAACATATCATGTGTTAAGGTTAGCTGTCGCACCTAGCAGTGTGTTCGATTCATCGATGAGCATCTAGGTACATGTAGCACCATAAAGCCGTATCATCAACACCCAGCTATTTGCTCTCGAGTCGTGTGAGAAAAAGGTTACCGGCCGCTCGAACCCGCAATTTGGATCCCTCCGACGTGTCAATCTTCGAGAAACGGTCAACTTGTTTTGTAGGACGTCTGTTTGTACGTTAGATTGCATTTCGATTTGTAAGCCCGCATACCCTTTAGATCATCCAGTCTCTGCTTCTGCATCTGACTGCTGACTAAAATTGGCTGAGTCATGAATAGTATCAGTTAACGAATATAATCTTACTCGATAAACAAACAATATATATATCAATGTTGAATTATGCATTGTTTAATCTATATCTGTCTTTGTGTGTCCTTGAGTGGTATTTATGATTCTTATATTAGATATATATTATGTGTAGTGTGCTAATCCGCAGTGGGGTCGCGTAGTGGACTATGCCCTAATACCCTCTGTACAGAAGAGGCCTATGCCTAGCAGTGGGGCATATGTAGGGTGCTACTTTACTTTACTTTTAACAATATCAAGTTACTGATCTGGAATAGAGCTGCTTTTTTTTTAAATGAAAATTAGACAAATGAACAAGCGGTTCATCTGATGTTAGGTGATTGATTGATGCCCTAAACAACCTGTGGACTTGCAGATGCGTTACGAACCTTTTAAAACGTGGGCCTCAGTTACCTCACCTTAGTTTTGGTCTCAACGGGAATATACAGCGTCACATACATAGATAAAGAGTGAGATAAACCAGAGGCCCGTTCTCATAGAAATTGGTAAACTCATCAATAGTTCCTTTGGTATTGTTTATATTCGTGGACAGCGATATTCGCTTCCTCTCAAATGAAACGCTTGCTCGTCGGTTGTCTTCTCTTGTAAAATAACTCTCTAGCGCTAATGAATTGAGATGCGTAAACCGAATCCTTTAACAAACTGTCAGCGGTCGACGTTCGCTGTCCGCTTGGAAGAGGAAATAACGCGCGTCATGCCAACATTATCTTGTCACCGGCACCGCACAAAACGATTGCTAACAAGGAGCTATCACACTCGACCGCTTCGGAACATTTCGACTCTGTCGGTTCGGAGAAGTGCCTTAAAGACCACCTCGCTGGCACAAGGGTTAAACTGGCTAGCGCAGGCGAAAATAACCCCTGCTGCGTTCGAATAAAGCGCAACCCGAACGCAGACCGCGCTCGGTAGGTAAACGGTCTTCTACAAAACGTGTGACGGATAGTCACTTGACGAATTCTTTTGTATTATCTAAGTCAGGACGTTATAATTCAGATTTGGATCCAATTGCGCACCCAATTAGATCCCTTATTGGGTGCTTATGAGCGTGGTACATGTGACCTTTAGAAACCTGTTTTCGCAGTCATGAAGATGTCAGACGTCTCAGTATCGAATGACATACGAGATAGGAGTTAGAAATTTGAATATATCGTGCTGAGACGAAATTTCACTACTTTTGACAGGTTTGACACGGGAACTATGTCTGTCTGACATAAGCAATCAGTTGGTTTTAGATGAAATTTTACATTGCGAACACAAATATTGTCTACTTAGTTTATACTACATCAAATTCCGGAGTATAATACTTTATTTCTTAAAATATGGTACAATAAGATATTAGTGTTCCATTATCCTTACTAATAGTATAAAGGCGAAAGTTTGTATGTATGGATGGATGTTTGTTACTCTTTCACGCAAATATGACTGAATGGATTTTAATGAAACTTTACAATAATATAACTTATACATCAGAATAACATATAGGCTATAATTTATATACATATTTTTATGTATTCTGTCTTTCTGTCTAAATGTTACGCCTTCAGCTTCTACGCAGACGTAGTCGCGGGCAGCAGCTAGTAATTACTATTTCTTATTTACAATTATTTCCATCATCAATTATTAATAATGCTTTAATGTATAATTATGCCTTTTATATTTATTGTATTTTCTATTATATTTATTGTCATTTATAAAATCAGCAGCAATTTTTTCGCAAATGACGAGTTAATAACAACATTTAAAGACAGACGAATATTTTTTCTAATTAAAATACAAAGTTATAAAACTTAATATTTTTTAACCTTATCATTATCATATGTCATCACATAATGTGCTGTATATGTCATACCAATAGTCAATTTTTTATAATAAAAACGGCTCCCGTACAAATCCTGTACTGCCCTATGTGTAAACATGAAAAATCACGGGCGCAAAGTAAACTCTAACCCGAAACAAAATTATGGAGCGGACAAGTTTTTGTTCTGCGCAAGGATTAAACTTTCTATCAGGTGAAAAGATCAACTATTGTTCCATCCGTGCAGTCAATTTTCTATTATAACAAATAATAATCATCTTAGGGTTGTCAAAGGCACTAATGAACGTGCACTTACAAAATCCGTCAATGATTCTGATATTTAACCCACTCCAACGGTAACGATCTGTGCAGCCAAACACACTTTCCTTATCAAACAAATAAACATAGTTTAAAACAAACACTTTTCTTCATCTTCCTTTCCTTTGATTATCATTACGTACTATCAAGACAATTGATATAATTCACAAAACATACGAACCCCTTTATTCAATCGATTTAAATTTTTTTAAAATCTAACTTAAATGGCTAAATAGTAGTCAATTAAGTTATTCATAAATTTCTTTTCTTATAAAAATCACGAGATGTTAATAAAATTGTATGATCGTTTTTTAGGGTTCGGTGCCTAAAGGGTAAAATGGGATCCTATTACTAAGACTCCGCTGTCTATCTGTCTATCAGTCCGTCTGTTACCAGGCTGTATCTCATAAACCGTGATAGTCAAACCGTTGAAATTTTCACAGATGATGTATTTCTGTTTCCGCTACAAAAAAAAAATACTAAAAAACAGAACAAAAATATTTCAGTGGGGCTCCCATGATTTTTTTTTTGCCGTTTTTATAGATAATGGTACGTAACCCTTCGTGCGCGAATCCGCCTCGCACTTGGCTGGTTTTTGAATTATGCCGTTAATTCCAAGCGACCTTATAATTATAATATTAATTGACCTTATTTAGTGGTTCATTTTTACTATCTAACGCGCTTATATTATTATGATATCATCACAATTATTATTCATCATTTCAGCTTTTAGTAGCTAAAGTTGAACATAGGCTGATACGAAGCACGATCCTGACATCTATCACACCTGCATCCATCGAATTTCCGTACATTTGCGCCTAACCCCTCTAAGGATACAAAATTTAAGAGCATTCGTATGTCTACTGTTGGATACGGATAATTCTAATTTATCTGGTAAGAACAAAGAGAAAGCTTCAGGTTAACCATACCCTTACCCAAGTTTTGAAAGAAAATCCTTACTCTTTGTGCATTTGAAAAATAATTTGATCCAAATAAAAGTAAGTATGAATGCATAGATGAGGAAGAATCCAAAGAGGCATGCACATGAGGACCATGGGGAATCGAAAAACATTTGTTTTTCTTTCAGTTTTGCCAATCATTAGCGGTTCCACGATGTTAAGCCACTCTTTGCCAGTTGACGTCCATAATGGGGGGGTGCCCAGTCTAGAAGATACTGGGCTGTTTTAATGCGTAAATATATCAGGTGAACTCCGTGAAAATGAATCAGGGCTTGCATTTATAGGAACAGTATGAACATGAGTAGGGAATGATCCAAAAATTGAAGTCTCTATACAGCGGAATCAAGTCAAAAACAAAACAAGAGTGAAATAGGGTCAAATAAGAAACTCCCCATGTTGCCCGTCACTTATATACCGAAAACACTGATGACATTTTGATGCAGACAACGCATTTGCTTTACATTTATTACATCGCAGCGGGCAATACGAACTTGTTCCTGCCAGAGACATAAATAGATACTAGATGCGCTTTATAATGTACAGTCAATTTCGTATCTGGCGTATAGTGCGTACATAGAGAACATTCAGCCATCGCTGTTTAATGAGTTTCGACGCATAAAACAATGTGATTTTAGACTATAAAATAAATTATAAAAATTAAAATATCTCCAACGATCTTGACAATGCAATCAAGCAGCAAACAAACAAACCAGTACAACACACTGCTTTTTTAGCAGTTCCACGCAAAAGCTTTTCTAACCTGCTCAGCTGGCTTGCTCAATCCACGACCAGTCAAAGCAGTGAGGTAAGGGAGACAATTATCATGGTTCAAACGAATCTTCTTTTAAGAAAGGGTCTTTCGAAAGTTGGCAACGCATCTATAGCACAGAACTGTTAGAGGACGTCATAGGAACTAATTGCTTATTATTCATTATTTCACATGTGAGTTTTGCCTTTTGCCTGTTTGAATACACCGCTGAACATAGACCACAGACCGCCACAAAGCACGATCCAGACAGAGCCACCTGCATCCATCGAATTCCCGCACAGGTCGTTACTCCATGTAGTCGTAAAAAGTAATATATGTGGTCCTACACTGCGATGCCCTAACTAAAAAACCTTTCTTCTCCATCGGTTACCAGTTCTGCGAGTTATATGGCCAGCCCATCGCCACTTCAGGTTACTTAATCTTCTGAATTACTCAGTTATCTTTGTTCTACTGCGATCTCTATCATGCACACAAATTCACGCACAGAAATACTAAACGCCATAGCTCGATGAGCGACTTTGAGCGTTACATTAATTACATCAGCTGAATTGTCCTCCTCATTCACCACCTTCTCACATAAAAAAATCCAACAAATAATAAGAACCATAAATTTACAATTAATGACACCACTGACATTTCTATTAGCAATCGACTCTGTAGCGTCGAACCCAATATAAATAGGCAAAAAAACGAAGTCCATTGCGCCTCCGATCGCACCGATAATTTTTCAACACACCATCTACTTATTACGATCATAGGCAGAGCATTAACTAACGCTGTCCTCAGATCGTGACACTAAAACGGCGAGGGAAAAGGTACTCTAATACGAGCAGCTACAATATAAAATGCCGTAAACGTCGCCAAGATTTCTCATTGCTCGTGCCGATTAAAATTGTACCTTAAGCGCTCGACATAAAATTCGAAACTGTCCGCATAATCGAATTGCTGTAGCGTCGAGCTAGACATCGGTCAGAGATTCGTGACCGGCCCGTCCCAAGCACCTGACGTCCGCCTGGGTTTAATGTAACCTCAATGTATCGTACAAAAACACGAGTTTCAACATTTCCTATCGCGGACTGGAAATTGGTTGCGATAGTTTATTACCGAACGAACTAATCATTATTAATATATTGTCGCTGAATTATGTAGTGGTATGTTTTTGACAGAATATTCCAGTTAATTATGAACATTAGATTCTGCATTCCAGCCCACCCAACGCGTAGGTCTAAGCTCGTGGGATCTGGCTATCGCATGAATCCTGCGTTCGATGCAGCTTTTTAAGTTACGGCCTAAAAATAAAAACATCATTCAAAGTATAGCAAAGAATATTTTTTGGTAAAAGTCTCAATTCCTTAGGTTATGTGCTTTTAGTACCTTATAAACCTACGGTTAGAATTCTGACGCAATTCTAATTAATTAAATTGAAATAAGATTGGCACGGACCTATTGACAGTATACTAGGATAGTTTAGTGCAGAAAATGTAATTTAGAAAGTGTAACGTAGAGAACTTGGTAAATAATCATTCTCAAATAACGCATTAAACATTTTGAAATGAAGAAGAAGAAGAAATAGAAGTTTCAATAGCAAAAATTTTGACCATTTATATATTTAGCTTTATCTCAAGATGTATTCTTGCATATTCCTTACACTTATATACGGGTAGCCTACATTCTACTGAAAGGTAGTTACCGCCGCTGAAATATAGCTACATCCATAAAAAGCCACATTGTCCACACATCACAAAGGAGTCTCCCACGAGCTGGTAATGGCACCCATTTCGGATGGACGATCGACAACTTTTACGGCGGGCAACTTTGCTCCGTCTGCGATTGACTTAAGAGTGGAAATGCCGTGGCGGTTTTCGACGGGGCAGTACGAGACATTTTTCCTTCATAGCGCACGACTCGCTCGTGACTACCCTGACAGCTACTTTTTACCTTCCCCCTGTTCGTTTTGCGTGCATTGCTCTCTTTGTCTACTCTTATTTACGTCCCGGCTCCACATTCGCGGCATGAGACCCGCATAATGACCCTTGAAGAGTCAGCCGTAGAGGTGGCAGTAGGCTACATATTGATTTCAACACAATTATCGAAATATATTGTGTTGTTTTTTGCACTGATGAATCTCTTAGTTATATAACTCGTATTTTGTTGGCAAGGATATCAAATGAAACAAGGGTCCGTATCTAAATTAATCTCAAGTTTAAAATTCGAACCTTAATAGAAAGCTTAATGTTATAAGTATTACTATATTATTTGCCACATTATAAACGGCCAGTAGTCCGAAAAGTTATGCACAGAATGGATCAAATTATATACCATTGATAAGTCCACCTTCGCCTGAGTGAAATTCATATATTTTAATTATTAAAAAAAACAAACATACACTAGCTGTAATTGCAGAGCAATATATTTGGGTCTTAACATTATTAATTTCCTAATATACATTTTGATGTTTGTTCTTGCGATGCAAAATTAAAATAAACAAAATGAAACGTGGGGTGTACTTGGAACGAAGATTGTTTCGCTGAATAACGTAAAACATTAAAACGCTGTAAATAACACTAACAAAATGAAAAATAAAAAAGGTAAAGAAATGAAGGCATGGCAATTATAAATACTATAGTAATAGTTGATTAAAAAAACTATCGCTAGAACCAATTCGAAGAGAGAGTCGCCGAGAGTTGTTGAATTTGGGGGCCGTAACGCTTTTTACTTACGTGACGAATTCCACCAACTCACAGGATCCGCGACAGATAAAGAATTCCAAGAGAAGTTTTTAACCGTGATAGGACCAGGCAATAATGTTTGCTGTTGCACGAATGGGCTGGTCCGTACGGGTAAGTACCACGACCTCACAGAAGACCTGATTAAGTGGAAGTGTCATACTTTTGCGTTTCATCTGGTGAGTGAGGCAGCCGGGGCACACTTTATTTAAAGGTGGCAACGCAACTGCAACTCTACGGGTATTGCAAATGTCCACAGGCGGCGGTTATCACTAAGTTAATACTAGTAGTTAGTCTTTTGAAGGCAAGTCGTCACTTTAATATGTATACTTTGACAAGGTGTCATTCGTGTACCACGTGAATGGCCAGCTCGTTTGCCACTTTCTCACAAAAAAGTATCCTTTCGCACGTGCTTAGGCACAATCAGTTCGCCCTCTGCGCACGGATGCTCTGTGCAGATAATGGGCCGTTGTCTCCGGTCTTCGGTGCGGAATGCCATGGGAACGGGTGCGAGGAGACGGGGCGCCGCGGCTAGCGAAGACTGTACGTGTCACGAAATTATTGAGAGTACGACTCGCCATTACCTCATTACTCGCAACTCCGGCCGGGGAGTGTAACGCACGGAACGATGCACCATTAGGCGGGAATGCGTACGGTTTTAATGGGACGGACGATTGGAAACCAACTGCGATTATAAATACGCGAATAGTTTCAGTTTATGAAAGATTGTACTTGTGTTTAAGCTGAGCGTTGTCGAACTAAGCTCGTGTTGCGGATCTGATAGTCTTTGATGATAATTTTAATTTAACTTCTAAATTATCAAAGCTTTCGAAGTTTTAGATACTAGAAGCGTCATGGTCAAGGAACACACTGAGCTGTTTGACACCCTATTCGATTTGGTGTTATGCAATTATGGACATCTAAATATTTACCTACCGCTTCATAAATTTTGTCCTATTTCGAGCACCGGCAAAAAATTATGCGGACAGTCATTTAATATTGTTATTATTCATCATCATCATCATGTCTTCAGCCTGATCGAATTTATCGCTGGACATATGCCTCCCCCACAGAATGCCGTGAAGACTACGTGCCTGAGCAGCCTGCATCCAAGCTTATTATTATTATATCTTAAAAGCTAAGATATACTTTATAAACAAGCTCTTGTTTATTAACATTTAATTGTGAATTTTCATCATAGTGAATAAGTTGATAACACACACATATTGTTTTTTTTTTTTTTACTATAAAGATCCTTACAACGATTTATTTGATTCACGCGAATGTAATAGATTGTCCGAAAAATCTAATATATAAAATTCTCGTGTCTCGGTGTTTGTAATTGAACTCCTCCGAAACGGCTCGACCGATTTTTGTGAAATTTTGTGTGCATATCGGCCAGGGTAGAGAATCGGACAACATCAATTTTTCATCCCCCTAAATGTTAAGGGTGGTCCATCCCAAACATTTTTTTCTACCCTACAAATAATTTATATGGCAAAACAACGTTTGCCGGGTCAGCTAGTAATATAATATTATTTTATCCGTGAATTTTTTTTGTGAGTGTTAACTCGAGCTACCGACATTTTTGCCATGTTCGTTCTTCTATTACTAACTGTGGTAAAATCAGCTACATGGACGAAAAATATCAATACAATGTTATTATTAAATAAATTGAACCGCACAAAACTTATAAATATAAAGTGTGTTGCTCGATATCCACGAATTACACCGAAAATTGTAGAGCCCGGGATTGACATAGTAATTATGAAATAATTATGGAAGTTCTAAGTTCAAGTCACGAAATGAATTATTCGGATTAGAACGACAGGGCGAAATAGGTTTCAGTTTTGACACAAATTCCACTTCTATAGCCAAGATTGGCAACACCTTATTGTAGCGCACCAGCGCTTGGTGTTTCCAATTTAAGGAAATTTTAGCATTCTTTACACACTATAGCCAAAATATACACAGACACAAACAATCACAGTCTACATTTAAAGAGGTACTATTCTCCGAATTGGATTTTGTTATATCGTGGTTTAAAAGGGAATGTTATAGTTATGCGCCGACATTAGGAGTAAGTCTGAATATTAATATAAATTAAACTGAGACATAATACGATACAATCTTACAATTGTAAATTATGCTTTATCTTTGTTTTCGTTCAAAATTTTTATAATACGGAATATGTTACGTATCTTTCAAAAAGTTATCTATTTTAAAAAGTTGTCGTCTACTTTTGTTGTTAGAAAACATAGAGATTTTTATCGATAATTTTGACTTAGTTGCCAATGTTTTTAATATGTTATTTCGAGTCTTGTGTTATTTATATTTGGAATATTATTGTAGTTTTACAGGACATACTAGCTTTGTGGGAAGCATGAAACGTAACCTTAAGCTAATCATGGCATTTAAGGTTTAATCGGTGAGCCAATGAAGAACAACAAGAAACTTTACATGGATCGTTTTTAAAAGAAACCTTCTGGGCTAGAAAACTTTCTCAGGTATTGGGACTGTGACGGGCGAATCGTTGCAGGAAATTGCATCAAAAAATGTTCAACCGAAATGCAATGGACGCCCACCGGATACGCCGTGACGGTGCACCCCGCACTGGCCCAGTAGACGGGACAGCGGCACGTGAAAGTGATTAGCGGGGTACAGTGCCGCCTTGTCGCTTACAAGGGACCCTTGTTTGCGGGGACGCTGGGGGAGAGTGGTACAGTTGAGCCGATAAACTATGACATTGCTTATAGAAATGTTCGATATGTTAAACATGCTGAAGAACGTAATAAACACTCTGATGTTACATACTTGCATTAATTATATTTTACTAGCTGCTTTTACTACTTAATTATATATTACCCGTTAAGGTGGATTTTATGGTTCCAGATTAAAGTAATGTTATTAAATGTCTAAAGTGTAATGGTCATTTCTTATATCTATCTCGAAGAAATAGTAAAAATAGAATAGTAGAAAGTATATATGTTTTCTAGTGTCATCAAATGTTTATATTATAAATTGTTTATGAATTTTACAAAAAACGTTTCATAGTCAGTTGGCATTTTCAAATTTTTCTGAATCCTTGATTGATTCTGTTATTACAAATGATTTTTTTCGTATATTTTTTGATATTTTTCGTTCGCTAAAATGAATTTATTTAAACCTGAGACCAAGATATTACGTTTTACCTTTAACTATTTGGACACATTTTATTCTATAAAAACAATACTTTCATTTAAAAAAGGGGCACGCGGGCGATGATCGTGGTTAAAACTAATTATGCAATATCATTACACATTTATCACGCATTTCTAGAAGAACCATTCACCGTTCATTTCGCCTCGTTTCTACAGAATTCGTCCACGGTGACAACAAGTCCCGTCCTCCCCAAAGGGAGCGGCGATGTCGCGTGCGATCGAATTTCACCACAACAGAGGGGCTTTTGTGCATCGCGGGCAGCGCTAAGAACAAAAAGAAACAACGTGTTAGCGGCACTCCGCGATGCAATTCCTGCCGGCACCGGCTTCTAATTAAGCCGGCCAGCGCGCTAGACCCCCGTTTAATTGTGAACCGGGCCGGCGGCTGCGGGGACGCTGCGCAAGCGCGGCTCACCGGCGGCTGGTCGGCGAGCGGTGCCAAATTTCGTGAAACCGCCGGTAATTGCGAGACAATGCGATGCGAGTCATGAACGTTTGGCGCCATTGTACACGGACCCAACGAGGTCAGAGCGGCCGTGCCGATTAGAGGAGCGGCAACGCCCCTGCCTCACTTAGCGTTCGCGTCGGCGGTGTGTAACTGTTATTGAGTCATCGTTTATAGCATATGTTGACGCTACCAAAAATTGACGCCGTACTTTTCTGCTGCTGCTTCGTCATCGACGGCCCCAACAAGAGGGATGTTTTTACAAACCTTTGTGTGCTATATGCTTACAGAATGATGTGTATCTAATAAAAGACAGTATACATGCTACCAACAAATTCGGACCCCATAATTCACATTCGTTTAAAAATTTCCTGTGAGAACTTAAAATAGACACGTTTAAAATTTTAAAAATTGTACGAAAAGATAATTTTTTATAACATCTTTAAATGTGAATATCCGTAAATATTGCATTCATTCAAAATTATGGTCAAAATTTGTTAATTCTAGTTATGATATAGATTGAAGTGTAAATTCTGTCTATCCTTAACATCTTACCAGGGGTCTTGAGCATTTGATCTAATAACGTTTCTCTGTGGTAGACCCAGACAACAACTTTAGCTGCTTTGTCCGCCTGTGCTCTAGAAGTACGGCTGGTACTCACAGAAGAGGAGCGTAAAGTATTTATAGCAATCTAGAGCCAATCAAGAGCTAGCAATCTAGCTGTCACTTTGCCAGTGTCGTGGAAGTTCAGTGGCTGGAATCACTTAACTACCCTTACTTAGTTGAACCCCCGCACCCGTCTCACATCGCAATACAAATCGCTCCACCGGATTTCGAAATTCCGTACATCCGTGCTCATGAGCAACTTTAATTCCCCAATTATCGATACACTTCAGACCGAAGTGCAGTGTACCAAGCGAACAGGAAGCGGAGTCTCAGCAAAACGCTTGTGCAAACGCTCGCCTCGAGTGTGGACGCGCTTAATTGCCCCCGACAAAACCCGAAAATCTCCCGAACGGCCCCCGGAAAAAAGTTAAACAAAAAACCCCCGAACGCGGCGAGCGGTGCGTGAAATATGGAATGGCGAAAAAACCGGGCAACGCGCGGGTGTACAACGGGCCCATTGAATGCCGTCATAAGAATATGATTGACATATTCTTTAATATGACATCTTCTCGAGCGGTGATATTTTTTTCGTCGCCCACCGCTGCTCCCTTGCGCGTTTCGTAACAATGCACCTCGCCAGAGAAAACTGCTCCTTATTACCGCCGCATTGAGTTGAAACCGCCGTTCGGTTTGACGACGTTGAAGGTTTAGAATTTTGTCAATAGCAAAAGAGAGGAGATGTTAAGCGCTGCGTAATCCAATTACTTGTTCTTTGTAATATTTCGGATGTGGATTATGTTTCTATAGAGGTACCATGTTTTCCTCGTCTATGTGATTATGTACAAGGGATATCTATTGATGCTTTATCCTTTATACCATCATTCCTCTATCCTAATGACACAGCCAAGAGCTGCCGCTTTTGTTGCCTTTTGTACAATGTACATGTTTTTTTTTCTTTATTTATTCAATCTCCTAAACATTGAAGGATGCCAGTAACGTTTGAGTTACATATTATAAAGATATAAAAATATTTAGAATACACGAAAAGTAAAAGCATTTAACATTTTTAGAAATGTGTGTGTTTTAATGTTATTTAGGAATTTGTGTTGTCAGGTTTCTTTGATATTATATTTCTTTAATATATTTCATGGTATAAGTACTACATTAAAAGCCTGTTAATTTCTACATACAATACAGCATTCTACAAAATACATTAAATGATGAAACAAGGCAGCACGTATGTATGTATTTTTGACTAAATTTCTTGAGCTGTTGCCTTGGAAGGAATATAAGGAAATATGAACTCTACCTCTTGTCGTTCTCGGCTTCAAATAAGATATATATGAAGCCGAGAAAAATCCTAAAAGACGAGGGTACTATATCTACGTGGTACTGCCATAATGATCATAGGCTAAGTCTTACTGTACCGTCTCAATCTTTACCTACTACTGTTTCCTGATCTTTGGGAATTATCAGGATATAACAAAAATATAAGGTGACGATGGGCCCACCGTGCTAAAGATGACTCTGAGACTATACATTGCTATTGTTTATAGGCGATGGTTTCGGAGAACAGCTTGCTCATTTGACGCCTTCTCTTACAACAGGACTGTGTGGTCACCCTAAGAAAAGTAAAGTAAAGTAACAGCCTATACATGTCCCACTGCTGGGCAAAGGCCTCCTCTATACAGAGGGTATCAGGGCATAGTCCACCACGCGGCCCCACTGCGGGTTGGTGGACTTCACAGATCTTCGAAATATATTTTTTTTGTTATTATTTCGAAAATATGCAGGTTTCCTCACGATGTTTTCCTTCACCGCGGAGCACGTGATAAGTCAGCACTTAAAGTTAAAAACTTCATTGGTGCCGGCACCGGGGATCGAACTCAGGTTGCTCGAGTATATTGAATTAAAGGCGAGCGCCCGGACACTAGCTATCACGGTCACCCTGTTTTCTTTTATTTTAACGTGGGGAAAATCGTTTATGGCTCCTCTGCTACCAGTTCGGGAGAGCAGCTGGGGTATAAGCGGGATGGGTGCTCACAAAAGAAGCCACGTTGTATATGTCTCCGTCGCATCGGCCAGGGTCACGGGAACACGAAGATGCATTTTCTGCTAACCGGCATGTGTGGTCACTCTAGCCAGTCGCAAGTGGAAACAAAGACAATTAGCGACGACCTACGGCCGCGTCAACGTCAGTCAGTCGGCCTAATACCGCGAAAGGTCCGATAGGCGTCTGCGTAATAGTATGACAGGTCGGTGTATGTGTGTCTTTAGGGCAGCGTTTCAGAGCGCTGTGCTGGGGTTATCGGTGCAGCTGTCGGCAGGCGTCAAAGCTACACGCATCCTGCGATATCTGCCCGGCTGCCGCAGGGTTGTTGACTGTTACCATATTTCTTGACCCCTTAAGCACATAATCGAATAACGTTTCTGCTCGGATTCGCATCGATAACTTTGCCCGCGATTCGGCGAATGGGACTGTTCCCTTTTCTATTTTGTCTTCGTTTATTATAATAATTGTAGGATTAATTCCACAGAATCATGTTTATTGGTACTTTTGCCATTTTAATAACATATTTTACGTCAATGGTCGTTTTTGTATTTAACAAGAGATTTAAAGCTCTATAAACCTATATTGAATAAAGAAATTTATTTATTTATTTATTTTAAGACTTCTTGCACATAACTCTGTACATAGGCGGATTTAATGCTGTCAGCATTTTCTACCAGTCAACCTTAGGGTGGTACCGAGATTTTGAGGTAGGTGCACAAACATTTAAAATATAAATATTATACTAATTACACATAAATATATACATAATACAATACAATTAAATAAAAGTTTACATATATATACTGAACTATAATAATATACATAAATATATACACAAATACGCATATATATTTTTATCTGATGATGTCATGTAACTGCTGGCAGCTTTCCCAAAATGTACTTCCGTGCCATTCTCATAAAAGAAAGGCGATTCTTAGCCATTCTGATTTTGGGAGGAAGCTCATTCCAAAGAAGGATAGATTGAACAAATAAAGAGGAATGGATAAAATCAATGGATGATGAGGAGGACAGAACAGAAGGCGATTATGTTTAGAGCGAAGATTTTTGGTGTTGACTGAACTAAGGTATTGGAAGTGGGGAGATAAATAAGAAGGAGTAAATGGGGAATCAAGGTAATAAAAAGAAAAAATTTAGATTTCAGCTTCATCGTATGTCAGCGGGACTTGCAATAAGTGTTTTTTACTTTTTCGGCCAACATATTTTTTTAAACGTTTAGTTAAATTATAAAAAAACAGATATTCATGGAGTTACAATAATTTTGAACCTAGTTCAAATTTCTTCTACAATATCTCACTTATCAAAGTTGAGTTATTTTTTACAATTGTTCAATAAAAACATTACATACATTATAGTTCATTACGGCTTACTGTTCGAAGCGTGAAACGAAAGACCGCGCTTGATAATTCGTTGTTGCTATAAAATGTCTTTCATACGCCGCGGCCGTCCGCAATAGCATAATTAGCTAATTGGTCACAGTTTCGTTTACGACAGGGGGCGAGCGTCGCTGAAACAAAATCATAATTAGCCATAAATCGGACTACGGCGTCGATCGATTCCTTCGGCGCCTCTGTGTGCGTGGCTGAGCGCTGGTGTGCGTTTCGATCCTGTATCTACTCGGCTTCGTATGTGTGCGACGCGGACAACAGATTTATTGTTAATGGTGTCCTGGACATAATTAAAATGGTTGATGTTCCGCCCTGCTCGACGCAACCGTCCTCTCTCGCCCCATGGCGCAGTGTAATTGACCGCAGAGGCTGAGTTTCGATTTTTTTTTATTAATAGAAATATATCTCATCGCAATAATCTTTAATCTTGTAAATATTAGATCAATAAAGATATATTAAAAAAAATTAGTTAAAAACTCAGTTTTATATATCAATCTATTTTTAGATACAGAAAAAACCTCCCATTCTTTGTTTTTTTCTTAATAAAATAACCAATGAAATCGTTCGAAACCTGGTAAGTAATTGCAATGAAAGCATTTCCTTCTCTTTTTAATATTTAGGTAAATTTTAACACAATATAATGTGATGAATGTGAAATTAGATCATCTAAACCTGGGCTACTCTAGTGATTATGGGCTAAATGAGATGTTGAATCACTTAGCACATTTCACAATAAACTATCAAAAGTCTCTATTCTTCATTCATCTGCGACTCGTAGTGTTATAGATGAGATGGAAGGATAAATCGTGCGGGGCGAGGCTCTCAGCTTGTGCGATATGTTACCTGTGGCGCCATCTGCTCGCGGGCCAACGCAATAAGCTCATTGTTCTGGTCTTTTCATTTGAACGTGAAAACAATCGCATCTGCCTGAACATATCATGTATACAACCAACACATCACATCATGTATGCAACCTTT